CGCAGCTGCCTCTGGAAGCCCCCCCTCCGTCTCCACCACCGCCGTCCCCGCAACTGCCCCCGACGCCGCCGCCCTCGCCTCCGCCTCCCCACCCCCGCCGCCCGCCCCGCGCGCGCGCCCCACCCCGGCCGGGAGAAAGGGGATTGATTGATTGATGGGAAGGCGAAACACAGCCCGACCAACGACTGGGAAACCAACGCGGTATGGGTGGACGCAGGACGGGCGATGACGGTCACACAGGAGCGACACACAGAACCACAAGACAAGACACTCAGCCAACGGGGCGGCTGCCACACATCCTGAGCGAACTTCCCTAGTCACCCGCGGCCGGAATCCATCCGGCACGCGTCGCTGGGCGCTCAGAGCTGCGTCCCCTGCTCGCCACCCAGACGCCGGCTTCTTTTTTCTCAAGTAAACATCCAGTATTCCGTCGAAGGAATCTTTCTTCCAATTTCGGCGGGGGGATATCCCCCCATGCCGAGGCCGAGGACTCCATAGCGGGTGTATGTTTCCTCTCGCCGTCGCCGCCTTGGCGGCGCCCGCGCCCTCCGACTTGCGCGAGGCGACGCCCACTCCGAAGACGCGCAAGCTCACCTTCGCCCCGTCTCTGGCGCCGTGTGACGCCGGCTTCGTCCCGACGTGCGAGCAAGCGAAAGGCTTTGGCCTCTGCGACTCGGCCACCGCAGCGTGCGACGAGACGTGCGTCGAAGGAGTGAAGATGACCTGCCCCGTGACGTGCAGCCTCTCGGCGGAGGAGACGTCGGGGCACATGGACCCGGAGAGGGCTCCCTCCGACTACGACAAACACTTGGCGCCGGCCGCCACGGCGGCCATCTGCAGCACCTGCGCAGCTCAACCCGACCTTCCCTGCTGCAACAACCACCCGTACGAACGCAATGGCCGCCGCCGCCTTGGCAATGTGGGAGACCTGGGTAGGGGGAAAGAAAATTTAGATGACTATCAGTGTCGGGGATGATGGACTTAGGGGACAGGGAGAGGCAGAGAGCACCCCCCCCCCCCCCTTCCTTTATTCCCTGTGTGGTGGCGGCGTGCCGTTCTCCCCTCCCTCTTTTGAATTTATGTTTTCTTTCTTTCTTTCTTTTCCTGGCTCACAAGCTAGTTCAAAGGAAAGAATTAGACTCGGCAGGAGTTCTTTGTTCTCAGCCCGTCAGGACGCCGTCGTCCTCGCTGTAGTGCTGTGAGCACACACACGCACTCCACCTCCTCAGTAGTAATCTGCAAGGTGGAATGTGTGGTGTGTAGTAATCTGCAAGGTGGATTGTGTGGTGTGTAGTAATCTGCAAGAGAAAAGCTCTTGGATTGTGTAATCTGCAAGGGCTAGTGCCATTTCACTCTGACACGCTAATCTTGAAAACGTCTCCAACGGAGCTCCGTGTTGCTTCCAGCGCCCTCCCCCGCGCTCCCTGCGGCCATGGCCGATGCTCCTAGTATGAGAGGTCATCTGGCTACCGCGAGAGCGACCCAACTCGTCGACATCGTCCGATGAT